CTCAAGTGGTAGAGTGCTCGCCTTGAGCTGAAGAGCTGAGGGACAGCGCCCAGGCCAAGAGTTCAAGCCCCACGACCAGGAAACACCCCCCCCAAAAAAAAGGAGGGAGAAAATTAAACATATTGGGTAAATTAATAGAAAACAATACACCCTGAGTTTGCTTAAAGAGTAACTTTAAACGCATTAATATGTGAACTTAGAGTCATTTACCTTCACTGCCACTAGCGATGAAGTCTTCATTATGGCCTCCAAAACATGAATGAATCGTATAAAACCCTTGAGTAACACCTTGATACTTCCTTACTAAAACTCTGTCTTGCAAGTCCCATAAATGAACTCCCTGCAGGCAGAAGAGAATATAGGCATGTATAGTTTGGTTTTTTATTCTGGGACAGGGAATGAATACAGGATCTCACTATACAATCCTGATGGGCCTCTCCCTCCCATATGCTGGGATTATAGATGTACGCCACCACACCTGGCATAAACAAACACTTCCAAAGCAACCTGGGAATATCCATCCCTTTACTCAATGGAGCATTTTCACTGGGATCGATTTAAGGCTGGTCCTGTGTACATTTAAGGATCATATATGCAATAAAACTTAAAAGATTAAGTAGAAATATTTTAAATGTACACACTCACAAAATCATAAAATATAATTTTCCTTTAAAAAATTTAAAGAATTAAACAAAATTTTAATATACATACCTGAGTAGCTACATTTAACAAAGCTAATCGGCCATTTTTTGAAATTGTAAAAGACATAATAGGATGATCTTCTTGTACTCTGTAATCAGAAAAAATAATCCATCAAAACAAAATTAAAAATCAAGATGTTCACCTTATGAGAATATAAAGTGGTCTGGCTTACACACGACAATTTTGTGTGAATCATTCTTATATATTTCAATTACTAAAAATGTGAATTAAGGATTCACCAACAATCCAAATCACTAGCCAAAGAAAAAAATTGTTCTGAAAAGGTCCTACTACATACACATTTTAGCCTAAGTCAGATAACTGCAGTTTAATGGGAACAGAAAATAGTTACATGTTCCTATCTGTGAGGTCCTCGAAGTTATACCCCCGGATCCGCTGGTGTGTATCTGACGCCAGGACAGTCTTCCCGTCACTCAAACACCAAAGGCATTGCACTCTCACCCCCTCCCAGGAGTCCAGGAGATTTCCATCCAGATCCTACACACAAGAAAGCCACTATTACTTCTGTTACTGAGTCATGAGCAGAAAGCAAAGAACCAGGCCTGGTTTTTTGTTTTTTGTTCTGTCGGTCGTGGGGCTTGAACTCTGGGCCTGGGTGCTGTCCCTCAGCATTTCAGCTCAAGGCTAGCGCTCTACTGCTTGAGCTACAGCATCACTTCCGGTTTTCTGGTGGTTTATTGGAGACAAGAGTCTCACTGACTTTCCTGCCCAGGCTGGCTTTGAGCCATGATCCTCAGATCTCAGCCTCCTGAGTAGCTAGGATTACAGGTGTGAGCCACCAGTGCCCGGCTTCCGGGCTGTTTTTTAATCTAATTTTTCTTTCTTTCTTTTTTTTTTTTGGTCGGTCATGGTATTGAACGGTGGGCTTGGGCGCTGTCTCTGGGCTCTTCAGCTCTAGGCAAGTGCTCTACCGTTTGAGCCACAGTGCCATTTCCATTTTTCTCGTGCTTTATTGGAGGTTAAGTCTCATGACTTTCCTGCCCGGGCTGGCTCTGAACCTGGATCCTCAGATCTCAGCCTCCTGAGTAGCTAAGCATTACAGGCGTGAGCCACAGGCGCCCAGCTGTCAATCTAATTTTTCTAAAAGAGCTTTTCTTTGGTGCTGGTCCTGGGGCTTGAACTCAGGTCCTGGGGTGCTGTCCCTGACCTTTTGTGCTAAAGACGAGTACTCTATCACTCAAGCCACAACTCCATTTTTTGGCTTTGTGGTAGTTAACTAGAGATAAAAGCCTCATGGACTTTCCTGCCCAGGCTGGATTTGAACTGTGATCCTCAGGTCTCAGCCTACTCAGTAAGTAGAAGTGAGCCACCAGTGTCCAGCTAAAAGGGTTTTTAATCATTAGAAATTAGATTCACAAGAAATTTTATTATAACTATGTATAATAGGACCTAAGTAGGAGTTTTAAATCTGCCCTTCAATAGCGTAATTTATAACATAAGTTACCGGGGCTGGGAAGGTGGCTCAGTGATAGAGCTCTTGCTTTGCATGCTCGAGGCCCTGGGTTTGATTCCTCAGCACCACATAAAAAAAAGCCAGAAGTAGCGCTGTGGCTCAAGTGGTAGAGCGCTAGCCTTGAACTGAAGAGCTGAGGGATAGTGCCCAGGCCCAGAGTTCAGGCCCCACAACCGGACCCAAAAATAAATAAGTAAATAAAAAATAAACAAAAATAAACAAAAAAAATAACATAAGTTACCAAAGTTATCATACATAAGTTACCGAAGTAAGCATAAGCTAAGAAACAACCTAAATCCTATGCAAAGTTTCAATTTTATGAGGAATCTTTATCATCACCATGGGTTTGTATCCATTGGTTCAACCAACCAAAAAGAAGTTTTGTTGGTACTAAACATATATACCTTTTTGTCATTTTGTCACGTTGAACTTACATAGTATTAGCAATTACAAACAATCTAAAGAAGACTTACAAGTATATGGAGGGTACATATACATTATAAAGCAAATGTTAGGTCCTGTTGCATGAGACCTGAGTACCCCTGACTGTATGATATATTGTCCTATAATATGAGGAGAGAAATTAGAAAAATGTGTGATGACCTTAAAAGGTAATGGACAATTTTCAAACTTCACATGCACTGTGCTGCTCTACAGATCAACACTTTGCAGCCATTATCTCACTGAATCTTCAGAGTTCTCAGAGACCTTACCACGTTCACTTTACAGACTAGAAAGCTGCCATGTGCTACATCCTGAAGGCTTAACTGTCTTCACAAAAACATACCTAGTAATGCTGCGCACACAACACTCTGAGGTAAATACTGCACTCCACCGACTCTCAAGCCCGTTCTAGGTGTGAACTTGGCTTGTACAAGAGGATCTTGTGCGTTAGCCTATGCTGGCCTTCAACTATAATCTCCCTACTTGTATTGCCCACATAGCTGGGATTACAGATATGAGCTACCACATTCAATTTATTCTGTTGAAATGGCTCTTGCTAAGATGGCTCTTGTTGAGATGGCTTTTGCTAGAGTTGGGATTAAACTGTGATTTTCCAACTGTAATTTGCCTACCAAGTAGCTAGGATTGCAGGAATGTAACGCTGGGCCTACTCCTAAAGCCATCTTAAAAGACAGTGATAATGTGTTAGGGCTCATTTAATTTTAGTCTTAAAATCTGGAAGCAATGATGACACATGTAATTGAGATAGAATACTGCATTTGTAGCAAAATTTAACTCCTTACAAGACTTCTTATTGCTGCTCTACCACGTAAGCCCACAGCTCTGCTTTTGGTTTTCTGCTGGGTAACTGTGGAGATGAGTCTCCAGCTCAGGATGGTTTTAAACAGTCATCCTCAGATCTCAGCCTCCCGAGTGAACTGACACCAGCTTGATTTCTTTCTTTCTGGTCCTGGGAGCCTGGGCACTGCCCCTGAGTTTCTTTTGCTCAAGGCTAGCACTTTACACCACTTGAGCCACAGCTCCACTTCTGCTTTGTTGGCAATTTACTGGAGGATCAGCGTCTCATAGACATTCCTGCCTGGGTTGGCTTCAAAACATGATCCTCAGATCTCAGCCTCCTGAGTGGCTAGAATTACAGGTGTGAGCTATTGATGGCTGGACATTTTTTAAATAGTTCCTACAACAGAAGATTAACAGGGTAGCTACTAGCCAAAAAGAGACCTCAAATGAAGAGGAAAACATTGTCTAGCAGGACTAATCAGGAAGAAGGAGGCCCACTCACACACTGGTAGAACTGCCCACGCTGGCCTCCAGTCACAAAGCGCTTGCCGTCCGGATTCCAAGCCACACTTGTCAAACTGTCTTCATGAGACTGGCTCATCTTTGTTCTCAGTTCTCCTGTCTATAAGAAATACAACAAGGTGAGACAAGCTTCTAAAGGGATTATGCAAGAAAGAGAATACAACACAAAGGGGGGTAGAGGCTGGTAGCATCGATGAAGGAGAAGTCAGCACAGGCTGAGGGGGGAGGGGAGACGGGGCAGAGAAGCGTAACCTGGATAGCTGGTTAGCTTGGAATTCCTTATAAAAGAAATGGTTTTAACTGGCATCAGCAAAGGGGTGTGGGGTGGGAGTGGGAATGGGGGTGGGTTATAGTTCTCAGAAGACAAGTTTAGGAATAGCTATGTGAGAAAAACGTTAATAAACTTCTAATCTTAAATCAATTATATTCATAAACTAAACACGTTAATTTTTTCAAGCAAGACAACAAAAAGTTCAGTTTCATATTTAATCCTCTGATCTTTCTACTCTTATTCTAAAATCCTTTATGAATTTTATTCTATAACTAAATTTAATACAACTAGCAGTTTGTTAAGAGCATGACTGTAAGTAGTAAACTATACCCTTCAATTAGGCCAAGGTCTAAATTACATTTCATATTTAAATGCTCACAATGGAGCAGAAAGATTGGAAAAGAAAATCTGCTATTTTTCTAATATGTAACCTTATCTCACTTAAAGTAGCAGAAAGAAAGGAATCTCTGTACTGCTTAGCAAAGCCATTCTACATTGTTTCCAACTAAGTATAGTAAAGTTACAACCCTCAGAGATCCTCCTGTTACATTTTCTAAGTTATTCAACTTAGAGGGTATGCACATACCATTTAACTAGTCCTGGTTCCTTGTGCTCAGGGATTAGAAACAGGATCTGAGAGATAATAGCTGCCCTTGGTATAATAAAAAGGACATGGGCATAATTTTCCTGTGAGAAATGGGTAATCAAAAGTAAAAATAAAAGAGTGAAAACAAAGGCTATGATTAGGAACTGGGGCCGAGAATAAAGGCGCAGGATACAAAATAGGTAACTAGATGTCTCCCTTACACTGGGAAGCTGCTAAAGGGAAAGTTTAGAGTACAAACAGACAAACAGCAGGTAAACTCTCAATGTTAACATCAGGCTGAGATCTGAGAATGGCGGTTCAAAGCCAGCCCGGGCAGGAAAGTCCGTGAGACACTTAACTGCAATAACTAACAACCAGAAGACTGGAAGTGGCGCTGTGGTTCAAGTGGTAGACCACTTGCCTTAAGCTAAAGAGCTCAGGGACAGTGCCCAGGCACAGAGTTCAAGACCCACAAACAACCCCCCCCCCAAAAAAAGAACAGTGATAGTTGTGTATTACACCAGTCTTTTTTTTTTGTCGGTCATGGGGCTTGAACTCTGGGATCGGCCACTGTCCCTACACTCTTCAGCTCAAGGGAAGTGCTCTACCACTTGAGCCACAGCACCACTTCCGGTTTTCTAGTGGTTTACTGGAGGTAAGAGTCTCATGGAGTTTCTTGCCCAGGCTGGCTTTGAACTGTGATCCTCAGATCTCAGCCTCCTGAATATCTAGGATTACAGGCGTGAGCCAGCGGTACCGGGCACAACAGTCTTTAATAGACAGAAATTCAGACCTGCCACAAATAAAGCCTAACTAGACAAGCTAAAAGATTACATGCTTATTATAGAATTAAGGGTATGTACTCCTCCAATTGAAAATGGAATTTTTTTTGGGGGGGGGGGATTGAGAGGAGTTGGACGCTGGGCCTGAACTCTGGGCCTAGGCACTGTCTCTTAGCTCTTCAGCTTAAGGCTAGTGCCCTACCTCTTGAGCCACAGCACCACTTCTGGCCTTTTCTGTTTATGTAGTGCTGAGGAATCGAACCCAGGGCCTCATGCATCCAAGGTAAGTGCTCTACCACTGAACCCTCTTCCCAGCCCAAAAATGGAAAAAAAAATTTAATCTTTTTGTTTTCTTTAAGTCAGATTCACTTTAAGCATTTTGAGAAAACTATCTTATATTCTGTGACTTCACACCCCATTGAACCTAGTAATAAATACATTTATTTATTAACTGCTAGATCCATACAAACAACATAAAAGATACTTTGGGGACAACTGGAGGTTTTGATTATGAAACAAATATTAGTATACTACACAATTATAATTCTTAGATATAATCTTCTTAAGTATAAAAGTGTTTGTAAGATAGTTATTTCTTAGATGATATAGCTAGAGTAGCTATAAACATCTGTAACTTACTTTCAAATGTTGTAGACATAGATATCTATGTAAATATATATACTCGTGCATATACACTAATGCATAAACACACCCTATGCAGAAAGGAAATCTTACTACTATAATAACAGAATTAGAATCACCTGTTTTATCTGCAGGTACATCTTACTATTCATTCTGTTCATCATACCAGTCTTGTTACTTGAGTTTTTTTTTTTTTTTTTTGGTCAGTTGTGGGGCTTGAACTGTGGGCCTGGAAGCTGTCCCTGAGCTCTTCACCTCAAAGCTAATGCTCTTTCACCTGAGCCACTTCTGGTTTTCTGGTGGTTATATAAGAAGAGTCTCACGGACTTTCCTGCCCAGGCTGGCTTTGAACCGTGATCCTCAGATCTCAGCCTCCTGAGTTAGGATTACAGGTGTGAGCTACCAATGCCCAGCCTTTGAGTCATTTCTCTTTTAAGAGACTTTAGATGCAAAATTCTATTTTAGCCAGTGCTACGTTTATGCAAAATAAACCACAACCTGGACCATTCCTCTGCTGATAAGATAAAAAATACGTAATTCGCCAGACAATGGTGGCTCAGGCCTGTCAGCCCAGCTGCTCAGGAGGCTGTTATCTAAGGATCGCAATTCAAAGCCAGCCCCCAGGCAGGATCTCCAGTAAAACACCAGAAAACCAGAAGTGGTGTTGTGGCTCAAGTGGCAGAGTGTTAGCCTTGAGCTGAAGAGCTCAGGGACAGCACCCAGATCCAGAGTTCAAGACGCAAGACCCACAGAAAAAAATAATAATAAAAATAAAAGTAAAAAAGTAATTATATATAAAGTCTATATTATATAGTCAGTCAGCTTACATAGAGAAGTTTAAAATAAGCCACATGCCAGCAACTCACACCTATAACCCCAGCTACTTGGGTTGAAGGCCAGACTAGGCCTTCTCAACCCACAGCTGGCTGTGTACCATGGTGCACCTCATGATACCATCTCAAAACAGGACTGGAAGCATGGCTCCAGTGGTAGAGTCCCCAAAAAGTATGTTTTTGTTGTTGTTGTTGATTTTGGCCATTCCTGGGGCTTGAAGTCAGTCTTGGCTCTGGCCCTGAGCTTCTTTTGCTCAAAGTTAGCACTCTACCACTTGAGCCACAGCACCAGATCTGGCTTTTTCTGTTTATGTGGTACTGAGGAATTAAACCCAGGGCTTTATGCATGATAGGCAAGCATTCTACCACTGAGCCACATTCCCAGCCAAAATTTAAAAAAATATATATAGATAGATAGATAGATGCCACAAGGAGAAGCAAAACATCCTAGAAATGCGTACTGACCCTTCTTTGAAAAATACTGTTACTCATCACAGTAAACAAGTAATTTGGCTCAGTGTGGCTCTGTCAATGGCGAGTCACCACACACGTGTGTGAGAATGCTGTGTGTAAAGCCAAACAAACCAAAGATGGAGCTCGCTCACTTGTACGTTCCAAAGCCAGAGCTCAGAGCAGTCATCGGGGCCACAAGCAACAAGGTAGTTGTCATCTGGACTCCATGCAATGTATGAAACACCGTAAGCATGTCCTTCCAATGTCTTTAGGAGTTTCAACAGGTGTGTATCCTAGAAGAGAAGCAGACAACAACTAAATGCCAACCCCAACAGAAATGGTTTTCTAGAGTAAGAACTTGAGGATGCACCTGATATAAACAATTTTTTATAATTCAATTAGAGCTCACACAGTTTATTTCATTAAAATCTGTTCACATTTCTTTTTTGTTGTTGTTGTTGCCAGTCATAGGGCTTCAACTCTGGGCCTGGGAGCTATCCCTGAGCTCTTTAGCTCAAGGTTAGCACTCTACCACTGGAGCCACAGCACTTCTTGTTTTCTGGTGGTTAACTGGAGATAAGAATCTCATGGACTTTCCTGCCCAGGCTGGCTTTGAACCTCAATCCTCAGAGTTCAGCCTCCTGAGTAGCTGGGATCCTAGGTGTGAGCCACCGGTACCCAGCTAAAACCTGGTCACATTTCTATATCTACTAACTTGCTCAAGGCTAGCGCTCTATCATTTGAACCACAGCACCACTTCCAGCTTTTCCCAAGTAGTTTATTGGAGATAAAGAGCCTTAAGGACTTTCTTGCTCAGGCTGACTTCAAACCACAATCCTCAGATCTTCATACCTATTAGCAATGTCTCTCTATGGCTCCTGCTTTTATACTTTCTGGTTTTATGAATTTGCTTATTGTGGATACTATATAAATGGAATTATACAGTCTCTGGTAACTGGCTTCTGTCATTTAGTGTAACATCCCAGGGGCTCATCCATGTTGTACAATGTTGCTGATGAATATTATTCCAGCTTATAGACATACTATATTTTGTTTGGTTTCTACTTTGTTTTTTTCTTTGGTCATGGGCTTGAACTCTGAGCCTGGGCACTGTCCCTCAGCTCTTTAGCTCAAGGCAAGCATTCTACCACTTGAGCCACAGCACTACTTCCTGTTTTCTGGTGGTTTATTGGAGATCAGTCTCTCACAGACTTTCCTGCACAGGCTGGCTTTGAACTACGATCCTCAGATCTTAGCCTCCTGAGTCACTAGCCACAGAGAGCCCAGCTTTCTATTTTGAATGAGGCTATATGAATATGTATTTTGTGTAAATGTTATTTTTCTTAGAAATACATGTACTCTACATATATAGAGTGGAATTCCTTAGTCGTAAGCTCACTCTACATTCAATATATTTTTGTGCCAGTCAGGGCCTGGGCATTGTCCCTGAGGTTTTGTGTTCAAGGATAGTGCTTTACCACTCGAGCCACATGCCCCACTTCTGGCTTTTTTGGTGGCTAATTGAAATGGAAGTCTCACAAACTTTCTTGCCAGGGCTTCAAACCATGATCCTCAGATCTCAGCTTCCTCAGTAATCCTCAGTTTTACTGGCATGAGCCGCTGGCTCAAGGTTTATATCCAGTACCATGAGTAAATGCTAAACTTTCGTAAGACACTGTATCCTTGTATCCTTCATACTGCATTCAAACCAACAAAGTTACCACTATTTTTTGCTAATCAGTATCAGCACTTCTCACAAAAATAGTTAACCCTCAAGTCTATTATATTGCTAATTACACACACACACACACACACACACACAATTTGCTTGTTTACAACACAGTGAGGCCAACTCTTAAGGCCCACACCAAGTTCTTCTGCAGGCTGACCATCCAGTGAGAGGGTTACTTCAGGATAATGGGCTCCAGGCAAAAATGTGTCAAAACAGGGCCAAAATACAATGGGAACTAACTCTAACTACTTGAAAATCATCAGATCATCGTGGTTCAAGGCCAGCATAAGCAAAAAGTTCAGTGTGACATAACCCCCTCCCACCAACCAACAAGCTAGGCGTAGTGAGTGGTACATTTCTGTTACCTTGGCTAAAGGGGAGGCCTTTTGTGGAAGGGTTGAGGATAGAAGGTAAGCAACCCTAAGAAAAATTCAAGACCCTATCTACAAAAAAACCACCAATAACCCAAGGCAAAGGTGCTGGAGTACAAGGCTGCATAATAGCCCCAGTACCACCAAAAACTCACAATGTCAAACCTGGTAATTGGCGTTAGGGAGAAGAATAGGACTATGTAGATGGGGATCCAAAGAAACAAGGTAAGAAAACCTGCAACAAACCAATCCAACAGTCATAATTTCCAGGAAACGAGGCTCTATCTGGGCGGTAAACCTTGTTTTCTGACCAGATCCATTAGAATATTTATAACATCACCCTAAGCCTCAAAAAAACTATCCATATGGGCAGATCTGGCCATGGGCCACCAACAAGAAGCAGCAAAGGTCTGTCCCCAAAGGATTCTGCAGACCTGACAACTTTTTTTCTTTTCTTTTGATGACCCCAGGCCTTGAACTTTAGCCCGACTGCTATCCCTGAATTTTTTATGCTCAAGGCCAGCACTCTAACTCTTAATTGAGCCACAGAGCCACTTCCAGCTTTTACTGAGAGAAGTCTCACGAACTTTCCAACCCAGTCTGACTTAGAACCGTGATCCTCAGATGTCAGCCTCCAGAGTAGCTAGGACCTCAGGCAAGAGCCACCAGGGCCCAGCCCTTAGGCTTTCCCTACAACTATGTTGGTCAGGACTAAAAGAGTACAAATGAAGATAATGAGATTTGAGTAAGGGTGTGGACAGGGAACAGAGAAAGAAAGAATCTGATCAGAGGTTGCAAAAACCAATTTCAGGCTTTAGTCTGAAAAGCTTATTGAGCCTTATTCTGAGCCAAGGGTAAATTATTCCAAAATGACTGTACAGAGTTACAACCTATTAGCAATAAGGAACAAGCGTGGAACTAGCCCGATAAAATTAGTAGAGGTTCCCCATTGCCTAGAAACTGTTCCTTCACTGGGTCTGAAGTTCACAATTCATAAATTCTCTAGTCCAAATTTCCACTATTTAAAAAAAAAATAAAATTAGGGTTAACAATGCAACTACAAAGTGTTCTTTGGAAGGAGGTAAGAAGCATAGAGAGAGAGTATTTGCAGTAGATCGAAATGTTCTGTAAAAATTAAGAAAGTCTGGGGCTGGGAAGGTAGCTCAGTCGTAGAGCGCTTGCCTTGCATGCCTGAGGCCCTGGGTTCGATTCCTCAGCACCACATAAGCAAAAAGAAAAAAGCCAGAAGTGGCGCTGAGGCTCAAGTGGTAGAGCGCTAGCCTTGAGCTGAAGAGCTGAGGGACAGTGCCCAGGCCCAGAGTTCAGGACCCATGACCAGACCCCAAAAAAAAAAAATTAAGAAAGTCTTTCTGACTAACAACATCTGCCAAGAATAAATTTTTATTCAAAGTAGTACTCCAGTAATCTCTTGGAATTCTTTGTAAGTTTTGTACACTTTAACAAAAAACTGTAGTCCTAAAAAAATAAAAGTTAAATACAAGGTAAGAACATTAAGACTATTACTTCAAAAGTACGGTGCCAAACTGGGCACGGGTGGCTCATATCTGTTAACACTAGCTACTCATGAGGCTAAGACCTGAGGACCACAGTTTGATGCCAGTCATGGCAGGAAATCAGAGAGACTTTTATCTCCATTTAACTACCAGAAAAGTTCAAAGTGGAACAGTGGCTGAAATGGTAGTGCTAGCATAAGCAAAAGTTCAGGGAGAGTGCCCAGGCCCTGAGTTCAAGCCCCCCCAGAATCAGTGCACATGTACACACACACACACACACACACACAGAGAGAGAGAGAGAGAGAGAGAGAGAGAGAGAGTACAGTGCCTTGGTCTGGAGGACCCTGAAAAACCTAAACATACAATTTCCCTATGATCCACCCAGAACACTACAGGCTAGGATACGGTAAAGACACCTGCACATCCATGCTTACTGCTGCATTGTTCATAATAGCTAAGCTGTAAGAACAGGCTAAATATTCTACAGTGAGTAGACTAAAAAAAAATACGTGGTATCTATACACATGAAAAACATGGCCATTAGAAAGAACAGTATTATATCATTTCAAGGAAATGGATGTGAAGTGAGGTAAGCCAAGATCAGAGACAGAAGTTTTCTCTCATATGCAGAAGCTAGATGTAAAATACAAAATAAATTATACAAGACTCTAGGCATTCACACACAGTGAGTCTAGAGGAGGGTACTCCCTTTGAGGAACACAAACATGCAATGCCTATGCACTTCTGATCATATAAAATAGTACTTATTGAAATGAAACAAGAGGTTTTTTCCCTTCTTTTTGCTGTTTGTTTTTATCTGTATTTGGGAGGGTGAGGAGGGCGCAGAAAGAGACAAAGGGTGAATAAATGCAGCAGTGATACTCAGTAGACACTACGTTGAAAATGAACTATACAACTTGTGGGAGGAGACAAGGGGGAAAAACTCAGAGACAGCGACAGAAGGGGAGACATTGTCCAAAAAGAAATGTACTTATTACCTGACTTATGAGCTAGTAACCCCTCTGAACATCACCTTTACAGTGACAATAAAAAAAAAAAAAAAAGAGCAGTATCTCACCTGCTTTTTGTGGGATGGCTATCATTTCCACTAGTTTGGACTAAATCGTCTTTTTGTCCTTCCTCATCTAAGATCTACTTTTGTTATTCTCCTAGCATTCCAATCCAACCATGGTCTCTTCCATGAGCTTCCACAGTATCCATTACAGAACAATTAGGGTTATCTTTTTTTTTTTTTTTTTTGGTCAGTCGTGGGGCTTGAACTTTAGGCCTGAGCACTATCCCTCAGATCTTCAGCTCAAGGCAAGTACTCTACCACTTGAGCCACAGCGCCACTTCCAGGTTTCTGATAGTTAACTAGAGATAAGCGTCTCACAGACTTTCCTACCCAGGCTGGCTTTGAACCACGATCCTCTGATATCAGCCTCCTGAGTAACTAGGACCACAGGCATGAGCCAATAGTGCCCAGCTAGGGTTTATTATCTTGTGTGCAGTCTTTCTGTAGGAAAAGACCTGGCACAAAATAGGTACTTTATACTGGCCAAATGAACTGGGGACTCTGGTAGCTGTTACAAGAAAACAAAATAAAGCACCCTTTTATACTGTTGCTTGCACTTTTATATATGTATATAATAACACTGAAATATTGAGATACTGTTTATGTATTTACACACCTTGCATATAACTTAATAAAAGTAGAACCCTTACTTAGGATAGAATGCAAGGTCAAGTTTTAATCCCAAACTCTTTCTAGACTTATCTTCTATTCTTTGTCATTATTAAATCAAACTGTACTTTTTTTTTTTTTGGTCGGTCATGGGGCTTGAACTCTGGGCTTGGGCACTATCCTTGCGCTCTTCACCTCAAGGTGAGCACTCTACCACTTGAGCCACAGCACCACTTCTGGTTTTCTAGTGGTTTATTGGAGATCAGAGTCTCAGGGACTCTTCCTGCCACAGCTGACTTTGAACCACGATTCTCAGATATCAGCCTTTGGAGTAGCTAGAATTAGAGGTGTGAGCCACCAACACCTGGCAAACTGTACTATTTTTAAATATTCTAGTATATTCTCCTTTCTTATCTTGTTTGTATAATTCACAGAAAGGTGCAAATGAAGTATTCTAACCTGTGAAACTGCTTTATGCTTTTGATAGTATAGCGTATACTAATTTAATTGCACCTTATTTCCATTTATAAGTTATACAATTCCACTGGAGTTCTTAACACAGTATCTCCAAAAAGTGCTCTAGGGATAGAATCAGGGATCATTAAACATAAATGAGAAGAAAAAAGGTTCACCTCTAGTTTCATTAACCAATGCCCCAAATTCAGTATTTTCTCCCATCTGTATCGCAGCAATTTCGCAAAGTAGTATTAAGTACATTCATATTATTAGGTAGTAATTAGGAATTACAATAAACTAGTTATTATTTGGCTCTTAATACACAAATCTCTCAAAAAGTTTTTGTTACATTTGCTGCAACATCTTACAGTATTGTTAGTGCTCATCCTTAATTCAGTGTTCTAGTTCTTATTAATTTTTTAATAAAATGGTAACAACAAAGTACAATTAAGATATATTGTATTTTTTTTACTATGCTAATAACTGTTTTAATACTAGGGTTCCTAAGTAATATGTATCATATTTATATTTGGGCACACTATATTTTGATGGAAAGTCTGAGACTTACATAAAATTAACAAAACCTGAGACTCTAACCTCCAATAAAACTACCTGGGAAAAGCCTAAAGTGGTGCTGGACTTCAAGTGGTAGAGCGCTTGCCTTGAGCAGGAAAGCTCAAGGACAGTGCACAGGCCCTGAGTTCAAGCCCCGCTTGGCACAAAATAAGAAAACACATCAGGGACACGGGCTAGGTCTCAAGTTCAATCCTCAGAATAGGCACAAACAAACAGTAATAAGTTACATTCAAAATTACTCCCCTTTGCAATTTTAACACTCATATCGCAGTACATACCGAATCAACTTGCCATATGATAACGGTTGTATCTTTTGATCCTGTTGCTAGTTTAGTGCCATCATTAGAGAATTTACAAAACCACACTTCATTACAATGCTCCGTAAGTATTTGCTGAGTATAACAGGGAAATTGTCTCCTAAAACAAAGAATTCACACATAAGTATCTTTCAGAATACATTTTAGTAATAATACAAAAAATAAACTCATACAACTTCTCTGAAAGCCACATCATAAAAATAAAGTATGAATATATTTATAGATCTTAAAGAATGTTTAGAAGCTGGTGCTGGTGGCTCACACCTGTAATCCTAGCAACTCAGGAAGCTGATGTCTGAGGATCACAGTTCAAAGCCAGCCCGAGCTTTGGTAAGAGTCTGTAAGACTCTTATCTCCAATAAACCACCAGAAAACCGAAGTGGTGCTGTGGCTCAAGTGGTAGAACTCTAGCCTTGAACTAAAGAGCTCAGGGACAGTGCCGCCCAGACCCAGAGTTCAAGCTCCACGGCTGGGAAAAAAAAAAGAATGTTTAGAGCCTGGCACTAAGGACTCATGTCTGTAATCCTAGCTACTAAGGAGGCTAAGATCTAAGAATCATAGTTTAAACCAAGCTTGGACAGGACAGTCCATGAGATGTTTATCTGACTACTGAAAAGCTGGAGATATAGCTATGGCTTAATTCTAGTCTTGAACACAAAAAATACTCAGGGACAGCATTAGGCAGAGTTCAATGCCCAGGACAGGTGGGTGCACACACATGCATGCATGTGTACACACAATGTTAATAATGGTATGTTGAAAAAGAAAATACTGTAATATTATTTTTTGGTCAAAGTAACTCAAGAAGAAATAATCTACAATGTTTCCATTTAAATTTTTCCCTTTCTAAAGATTAATAATAATGAGATGACAGCATTTTGCTCTTAAAGAAACAGGAATAAGGTACTATTTTTAATTACATTGCAATCTGGTTAAACTTTAAATGGAAATGCAACTTGACACGAAAAAAAAAAGAGAAACAGCATTGCTGTCTGACAATCAGTTTGGATCCCTTCTCAAAGGCTAGTAATATCAAGTTTTTGACATGCCATTCCATTCATTCCTCGAACCTTCAGTTCTAAAGCTAGACTAAATAGCTGTCATCTATTACTCTCAGTGATAAAGAAGTTAAAGCACCTAGGAAACATGTGTATCATATTCCCATCAGTTCATTTCCAAAAAGGGAAGCAAACTTGTAATACCTTCTGATATTTCTTGAACTATAAATTCATCACTTTTTTTTTTTTTTTTGGCCAGTCCTGGGGCCTGGGAACTGTGTCGTCCCTGAGCTGCTTTTTGCTTAAGGCTAGCACTCTACCACTTGAGCCACGGCACCCCTTTCGTTTTGTTTTTTTGTCTATGTGGTACTGAGGAATCGAACCCAGGGCTTCATAATGTTAGGCAAGCACTCTACCACTAAGCCACATTCCCAGCCCAAGTCATCACCTTTTAATGTATCCCAACAATAAAGTCATGAACCCAAAAGATTTGGGTTCACAACTGACATAAACCCATTAAAAGAGCCATGAAATTATCTAGCCTTTTAATATATTACTATTGCCTCTTTTTTCCAATTTAAGTGAAAATATTTAAAATCCTCATAAACAAGTCATAGTAAAAAACAAGTCAAGAGTAAAATAGGGTAAGGGAGAAAGACCAATAAATACTTCTGATACAACACCTGAAGTCACATACCAGGTATTAATATAATATTTTAAGATAAACAGTTCATGTTTTTATTAAAAATGGGAAGTCAAAAACAGACTACAGTGATGAGGGTATAGCTCGGTGGGAGAGCCCTTGCCCAGTATACGTGAGGCTCTTGGTTCAGTTACCAGCAAAAAAGGAGAAAAAAAAAAAAGCACATGCACCCCCCCCCACACACACACCTATGGATACTTATGCATTATTTAAACCAAAATCGAGATGAGTACATATACTTAACTTAAAGCCTTCTCAGGCCAGGTGCTGGTGGCTCAGGCCTATAATCCTAGCTACTCAGGAGGCTGAGATCTGAGGATCAGGGTTCAAAACCAGCCAGGGCAGGAAACTGTATGACTTTTATCTCCAATAAACCACTAGAAAACTAGACGTGGTGCTATGGCTCAAGCGTCAGAGCACTCGCCTTGAGCTGAGGGGCAGCAGCCAGGCTCAGAGTTCAAGCCCCACAACCAACAAAAACAAACAAAAAACAAAACCAAAGCCTTCTCATAGGTACTTGTAGGTCTGCTATTCCTCACTTTCACGAGTTCTTTGACCTTTTGGTACTGCAGCCACCCCTCCTGTTCAGGCAACAGAACCAACTGCTGATCTCTGGAAAGGTTCGAAAGGTCACAGAAATTGTTTGTTGGTACTTGAAAATTACAGTTTAAATGTTGGAGCTTTAATTTTGGAGTTCATTCTCTTTAATTTTCAGAGTTGACAATCCAAATCCTTATCGCTTCCATTGTTACACAGCTATAGAATAAACTCTAGAAAACATTCTAATAAAGTTCAGAATTGTAAAATGCTAACGTATCTCACAATATCAAAGTTTTCCTCTTACCTACTACAAACATGATCTATAAGTAGAGACACAGAATCCAGATTACTATCAAGTTTGGTGTTGTGGTATAGGCACCGATCCCTTTGTAGCTCCACTGCCTGCCGCAGGAGGGTCTGTAAACGCCGTGGGGGAAGCATCACTGATGGTGGTAAATAGGCTTTAATAGAAGATATTTTAAAAAGAGAAGTAAAAACAATAAACTGTAAACTTTTATTTAAGACATATGTTCCTCTTAACTATATTTAACCTTACCCTCAATAAAACCATGTTACTTAATAGACAAGTTCTAGGGAGATAACATAACATGAATTTAAAGTCTATCTGTCAAAACCTACAGTGACTGGGTACCAGTGGCTCACGCCTGTAATCCTAGCGACTCAGAAGGCTGAGATCTGAGGATTGTGGTTCAGGCAGCCCTGGCAAATAAGGCCCATGAGGCCTTATCTCCAATTCTCACTCAGAAATCAGAACTGCAGCTGTGACTCAAAAGTGGTAGAGTGCTAGTCTTGAGCAAAGGAGCTCAGGGACAGTGCCCAGGCCATGCATTCAAGTCCATGACCAACCAAAAACAAACAAAAAACCCTAGAACAATGTTGTCACTACAGAGATGTCCATGGCCAGGAGGACTTTATAAGTGCTATCACAAAACAAACAAGGTAGAATGTAATGAAAAGAAAATCTAATAATTATTTATCAGTAATTATCAGGCATAAGAAAAAGCTCCACAAGAACAAATAAAAATCCTGAACAGGCCAGCTACAAGTCCCTGTCAAATAGCTCAGACTGCTGAAGTAACAAAGATTGGAGTACCAATCTTTCAGTACTTCATGCTTCTCAAAGTACGTGGGGTGTGTTTTTTATTATTTGGATTTCTACACCTACCTCAACTTTACTGAAGAGTAATATCTGAACAGAAAGGTCTTTTATGTAGAGACATTGCAAAAATGAACTTTTTAAAATTTGGGAGAATAAAACCGTATATAAAGAAATCTGGAACTCATTATTTAAAAACCAACAAAAATTATAAAATGCTTTCAGCTTAAAGCTATGGTCGCAATGTTTTCCCTTTAATCACAGCACTATTTCACCCCAAAAGAAAGAATTCAGCAGCACCACAGACCAGTTCTGTGACTGGTGCTCTCACTGAGTCCTCAATAAAAGTAGGTCTAGATAAAGTCTTCCTAACTGATTCATAGTATCTACTTCCAAACTACGAAAAAAACAAACATAAAAGTCATGGTTCTCACTCTGAAGTTTATCCAGCAGTTTTGATCGGGAAGCTGTTCCTTTGCCTTCCCATTCTGCTTTTGCTCTTAGGTCTTCTGCATGGCTACACATCAGATACCTAAAACAACAGAGAAATATCAAACTTTTTCTTTGAAATGTAATTGAAAAGTACTGAACACACACACACACAAAACTTTTCTTTTTTTGGTGCCAGTCCTGGGGCTTGAACTCAGGGCCTGGGTGCTGCCCCTGATCTTCTGTGCTCAAGGCTAGTGCTCTACCACTTGAGCCATAACTCCAGGCTCTACTTCTGGGTTTTTTTAGTAGTTAACTGGAGGTAAGAAAGGTCTCATGGACATTCCTGTCCAGGCTGGACTGGAACCTTGACCCTTAGATCTGCCTCCTGAGTAGTAGGGACTATGTGTGAGTCACTGGTCCCAGCAACAATTTAGTTCTTACTAACACAAATCAAGAAGAGATTTTTCTTTTTAATTTTTGGTGGCACTGGAGTTTCACTCAGAGCCACAGGCCTGCCAAGCACTGTGCTACCTGAGATCCACCTAGACCCCTTTTTGCTTATTTTTCAGGTAAGGTCTTCAGTTTCACCAAGGTCTCTGACTGTGACCCTCCTAACCCATGTCTTTGGTATAGCTGGGATTATTGGAGCACATCACCACACCTGGCTTAATTTGAGGTGGGAGGCGGTATCTCACTACCATAACTTTCCCAAGAAGCTAGGATTGTAAACAGGAGCCACTCTGCCCAGCTTTTTTTTTTTTTGTCGGTCGTGGGGCTTAACTCTGGGCCTGGGCACTGTCCCTCAGCTCTTCAGCTCAAGGCAAGAGCTCTACCACTTGAGCTACAGCGCCACTTCCGGTTTTCTGGTGGTTTATTGGAGATAGGAGTCTCACAGTCTCTCCTGCCTGGGCTGGCTTTGAACTGCGATCCTCAGATCTCAGCCTCCTGAGTAGCTAGGATTACAGGCGTGAGCCACCAGCGCCCGGCTTCTGCCCAGCTTTTGAGAAGAGATTTCTGTAGTGACCCAACTCATTACTACAGTATGGTACCTTCATAAAACTACTAAAATGTGATGACAATAATAACTGAATACATAATACTATTATTATCTATTAACAGTGTCTTACTATATAGCACAAGCTTGAACTCTCAATCCTTTTGCCTCTGCCTCAGCACTAGAACTACATGTCCCACCATGTCGTGTGTGTGTGTGTGTGTGTGTGTGTGTGTGTGTGTGTATTTGTATGTGTGTGTGCCAGAACTGGGAGTTTGAACCCAGGGTCCGGGTGCTTATACCAGGCTTTGTTATATTCAAGGATAGCTCTAATACTCTTAGCAAATGAGCCACAGCTCCCCTTTGCGTTAACTGGAGATAACTAGAGACTCTAGGACTTCTCCTGCCAGAGTTGGCTTCAAACTGGGATCCCCAGATCTCAGTCTCCCAAGTAGCTAGTATTACTGTACAAGAGTGGGTCACTGGCACCCAGCTAACATTCTCACATCACTCTGTAAAAGGCATTGAGGTTTTTGAGCAGACTCTGGAAACTTTTTTTCCTTATTGTATGTGCAGACAGTGGCATAAATACTCAAAGTCATGGTCTCTAGAGAACACATAAGACACCAGAGCTTCTGCACACTATGCAACCCTAACCTGGTTCTGAGTCTTCTCAGAAGAACTGGATTTGAGTAGCAGCAGCAAAGGTATTATTAGTCCAACATGAATCCTTGCTCTGCTACTGCTATAAAGGTAAAGCTCAACTGGGGGTACTATAAGTATCAGGAACTTCTCAGTTAACATAATTACTGTCCCCTTCTTTCCTTAACTGCAAAAAGCAGTCAACTAGCCTCTTACCCAACAGCAGAATTACTTGTTCTCTTGGTACTTAATTTATAAATAGTATCTTAGCAATAAAAAATACACACATAGGGGCTGGGAAGGTGGCTCAGTGGTAGAGTGCTTGCCTTGCATGCATGAGGCCCTGGGTTCAATTCCTCAGCACCACATAAGCAAAAAGAAAAAAGCTGGAAGTGACACTGTGGCTCAAGTGGCAGAGCGCCAGCCTTGAGCTGAAGAGCTGAGGGACAGCGCCCAGGCCCAGAATTCAGGCCCCACAACGGGACCCAAAAACAAAAAACACATACATATAGTGCATATAATTATACTCAAAAAGCCCCAAAGGAAGCTGGAAATGGAAGGTGTTTTCCTAAAAATAACTTCTAAGAGAATTAAATGCAAATATGAGCAAATTTTTCTAAAATTATGCAAAAGTGCCCCTGTGGTTGATTCTTTACCCTTTTGAAAATTTACACTAACCCTAAGGGGTGTGTGTGTCAGTTCTGGAACTAAAGGTTTAGTGTATGTGTATGTTTAGTGTATATGTCTGTTGGTCCTGGGGCTTAACTACACACTAACTCTAAGGGGTGTGTGCATGTGTATGCCGGTCCTGGGCTTGAGTACACACTAATCCTGGTGTACATGTGCATGTATATACCAGCCTGGGCTTACACATGAACCCTAAGAGATATATATGTGAGTGCACACGTGCACATGCACACGCATGTGTGCCAGTCCTGGAGTTTAATCTTGGGAGTCTAGGGGCTGTCCTTAAGCTTTTTTGCTCAAAGCAAGAGCTCTACCACTTGATCCATAGCTCCACTTGACTTTTCTACCTGGTGTAGCTGCAAAACCACAATCCTCAGATCTCAGTCTCCTGATTACAGGTGTGAGCTACTGGTACCCAGCTAATCCTCAGTTTTTAAATGAATGTCTATGTGTGGACAGTCACTTGGAATCATTGAAAGGCAGTGCTGGCAAGAAGCAATAGGTTCTGACCTTAGTTTTGTACATCTTGTTAACCTCTGGGCTATTTCTCTGTGTGAAAATTCAAGGGATAAATCTAATCGCTTTAGAATAAAAACTACATTAAAACAGAAGAAAAGCTCAGGGATAGCTCCTGGGTCCCAAGTCAAAGCAACAGGACTGGCATCTCCCCCACCCCCACAACAGTGATTAGAACCAAGTGACAAATAGAGGTTTGAGACTCGTCCTCTTGATTTGCTTTATCTGGTGCTGGTTACTTAAGTTTCTGAGACTTAGCTCCCTTATCTGAAAAGTGAACCTTTTATCACCTTTAGGCCCATAAATGCATTATGTCTTAAGATATTGTTTTAGACAGCAAGTTCACATTACATAGTAAAAAATACTATTAAGAACAAACAAAATAGAGCTAGGAAATATCCAATATACAATCTCAAGAGAGGATATATACCTCAAGAGAGGGTATTTGGACTTGGGACCTGAACAACTAGTAGCAAAATATTAGAGGAAGTGTATTTTACACAAGTACTCACGTGGCTTAAGGCAACAAGCCACGGATCAGAAAAAATTTGTACCACTAGAGAATAATGAGTAAAGGGGAAAGAAATAGGGTTTGAGGATCTTGTGGACTTGAAAACAGATTTGGGATTTTAAGTGTGCTAGATGGATGGCATAGGGAAGGTTTTAAGCAAGAGTAAAATGACTTAATCGATATTGGGTCCCCCACCCCTTTTTTTTTTTCTTTCCTTTTTTTGCCAGTCCTGGAGCTTGAATTCAGGACACTGTCCCTGAGCTTCTTTTGCTCAAGGTAAGCACTATACCACTTGGTCTACAGTGCCACTTCTGGCTTTTTCTGTTTATGTGGTACTGAGGAATCGAACCCAGGGCTTCCTTCAGGCTAGGCAAGCACCCTACCACTAAGCCACATTCCCAACTCTTATTTTATGGTTTTATTATAGATTTCTCTGGTTGTTGTTAGAAATATGCGTTGCTACCAGAGTTTGAAGGCATTTTAGTAAGGTATGTAGGGGAATGGATGGAAATACACCTTAAGTTTATTTTAGACGTAATCACCTTTGAGGTTAGTCCAGGCAAAAGGTTATCAATAAAAAGGATAAGCATTTTTTTGGGGGGTCGGTCATGGGGCTTGAACTCTGGGCCTGGGCGCTGTCCCTCAGCTCTTCAGCTCAAGGCAAGTGCTCTACCACTTGAGCTACAGCGCCACTTCCGGTTTTCTGGTGGTTT